TACTGCTCTCGTTGCGAAGCAGTCGCCACAAGCCATTGATAGCGTTGTCGGACAGAGTATTCTCATTTGGGTGCAGTCACACCATGCCCATCTCGTGTGACACGCACCCCTGTTACCAGGGTACGTGTAACCCCGTTACAGGTATTGCCTGATAGGCAATCGGTCAACCCAAAGTTCAAACTGTTAGGTTTCTCTCATAGTGAAGCTTCGAAAAGTCGTGATATCACCGTTAATAAAAAGAAAAATTCTTTTGGTACGGACATGAAGCTGCAACAACTTCGAAACTGGATTTGAAGCTGTCCACATTCCTGCAATCAAAGTTTAAAGTGCCTTCATCCGATCTAAACGAGAACAAGCACTGACGAGCCGCGGTCTCATGATGAGACGATTGATCTCGTTCATATATCGCCATCTCCAGAGTGTATCTCTCCTATGATAGCTGTGTGGAAGCCCGGTGCTCCATACCTTTCAACACTGAGAAAAGGGTTGCTTAGGATGAAGATATTTGGTAATGTTACATATGAAACATCTGCGACATACCATGATGTTGCTCAATCGTTAAAAGTTCACATTCTTCTTCTCAGCAACGATGATGTCCATTGCCTCTGGTGTGCGCATGGACCCATTAACTTCAGTACCTCAACCGGTTCTCGCGGCATATATTTGTGCTCCGGATTCTATGAAAACTTCACCGCATTCTGAAATAAGTTGAATGGACGCGGCAAACGAGCTTGATTTCCTCATCGTTGATCATAAATTTTTATTAGCACGTCCGTGACAGTTTTATTTGTTTGCAGGCTACAGCACATCGGCCAAGAGCAAAGAAAGCGCCAACAGCGCAGTCAATGATTTTGCAATATACCAACAGCACGACAAAATCAGTCTTCATAAACAATTAACAAGAAGATCACGCTATAGAAAAAAGGTAGTAATGTACAAAAATCGCTTACATTGACCATGGAAATTAATCTTGCTCATTTGTATTGTTGATGTTGTGCTAGGGCCCAGAAGTCTACATTCGCCCTAAACCCTAGAACATAATTCATTTCATCATTGAGTGATGAAGTAAGAAATTATTTTGACGGCATCGATAAGACATTTGGTTATTTCGACACACAATTCAAAATTGACGCCTCCATGTATTATTGGTTAAGATTTCGCATAGAATACATATCAACAATGCGATGACCAAATACATAAGTTGAAGGCGTTCAGACAATTTTGATAAAGCTGATGCAGTGTGTATTGTGACAAAATTACTGATCACAAAAACAATACATAGCTTCAGATCATGTTGCTATACCTTCGTGAACCTTGACATCGGCAAACATTTCAATTTTAGGATACATGGGGGGGAGATCAAGTTTCTTCCGGTAAGCTTCAACAAAACTCTCGAATCTTTCGCTTTGAAGGCTGTACCACTCGTCGTATTCTTGCGGCGATTCTTTGTATTTTTTCTCAGCTAATTCCCCCAGCGCTCGGATGTACAAAATCGGCGATACGCCATCCGCGACCAAATCTTCGCCGGTATGGTCTCCTGATATAATTGTAATGGCCTTATCCAATTCGTCATCGACGGCCGCCTGTTGGACGATGTCCATTTTTCGCCATTCTTCCGCCCAGATTCTCATTACCGCTGAATGAGTTTTCTTATTCATAACATCGACAACCACTTATCGTGTTCCTCTATAAATTCAACGAGTTGCGTTAATTTTGGATTTCTTTTCCAGTGCACAAGAGAAACTGTCGACATTTCGGCTGCGAGATCCGGGCTGCTCTTCAGCAAGGTCATCACTTGGAGAGGATGATATCCCAACATAAGTGCTTGGTTGACCCCTGCTCTTTTTATCACCCCAATGGCATTAGCGATCCTAATATCCCTTATTATTTCCTCGAATTTTACCGGCGCAAGACGCATGACATTGATGAGCTTCGTTACTGCACCTTTCAACGTCCGCATACGTTCTTTGCTCGCTGTAATCTTACGCTTCGTTGCACGATGAAGGCGACTGCCGTGAACTCTCCACGGAGCAATAGAGTTCGGCATTGACTCTGGTTCCTCGTGCTTGGACCTATGTTCGTGTGTCGAGAGTACGTCTTGAACCGTAAGACTGACGAGTAGAAGAGAGATGAGATACTGGCTGCGCATGATATCGTTTGTTGCGCTGGTATAGGACAAAATCTCTCCGGAGACTAGATAGTCGGCTTCAAAGCTTTCTTAAGGAATGAATTCGTTTTCGAGGCATGATCGAAAGATAGAAGTGGCAGGCCTGTGACATCTTTCTCCGGATTCGTTTTCTGGATCAATCTTTTAATAAAATAAAATCTTTACCTGAATGATGGGAGGAATCATGGGAGGAATGATTGTGATCAAATCTTAGAGTAAAAACACTTCGAACGGAGGATTAAATCGCAGCGATTGCTGATTATCTATTATTTACGCCAAATTATCTCAGATAAAGTACACAGTCAAATCTCACAAAATATAGAATTTGACTGGAAGGCACACTTCAAAAGACGACAGTAGTGTTCAATCTAAAATCCTGCGACAGCTAACCATCAGGTTTTACATTTCAGAAATAGTGCAAATAGCCATCTCTTACCTGTCTTATGTAGAGCTATCGTACGACAGACTATCCCTTCTCATCCCATAAGCTCAGTAGATCCTCACTGCATGCAACAGCTGAATGGACGACTGAGCAGAAAATGCAGTCTTTATAGTGTGCAAACATAGCGAAGCTTTACAAAAAACTATATTCTGCCATTACAACAAATTTTCCTCTGATTCATTTTGGGAAGGTGTACTACCGGCAGTTCAAGTCCATGTGAGCGTGGACTTCCGATCGTCCGCCTCCTTCAACGCATAGCCGTCGAAACTCCATTTTAAAAGTATCAAATGCAATTTATCATCTATAAATTATTTCTGATGTAACGAACCGAACCTACACCACCATGTACTGTGATAGCGAGAATATCTTACTAAATTAATCTAAATAATTACATGACCTGATTATTGGTGACCTCAGCTCGTCAATCTATGTAGCAAGTGCCCTCCCTCGCTTTTGTTTCGAAGCAGGCGACATATATTAAAGATTCAATTCTGGGTCTTGACAGTCATCTCATGATTGTATTTGCAACCTGAATGTGGAAAGTGATATGTCTGAGCGAATGACTGGAGGTGTTGTTTAAGTGGGTTCACATCACTCTCTGTTGAGGTGAAACCAACTCTCGCAAGAACAAGCTATTCAAACTGCACTCCATAACTTAATGATATTTTTCATCAGATTCTGACGATGAAGCAAGAAATACGAGTCTATCCCAAAGGAATCATCTGTTAGGACTGACCGATCTATAAGAAGAGTTGTTTTTCATTTAGCTCCACAAAAACAGGCAAACGTCCAAATGTTAATCATTAGCTTGATATGGACAGTAAATTCATGGACAAAGAATCGCAAATCAGTTAGGCTACGAAAGCTTATAAAACTATCGACTTCATGCCGAGTTGTACAAAACTTTCCTGCAAACAGTGACATGCACATGCCCCTCTACGCGTAATTTAGCGTTAAATATAATCTTGCAGAGCTAAACTCGGATGTGAATGGTGTAGAAATGGTGTGAATGCTGATGCGGGTGTAGGTTTGCTACGAAGAATGATGACGGTGGAAACGTTTTTCGATCAAGTGTACAACAGATGCGTAAACTACTGACATTCGGAGAATAGACTGGAAAAGCAATGCTCTGGCGATCATCAAAGCAAGAGGAAGTCAGACAATGGTTGAAGTGACTAAGGGATTACAGATTGTGTCGAACAAATCAGAATTTTTTGCACAAAACACTCGCACTTATGATGGAGGTGGTATTAGACGATGCTTGACTTAAAAATCATCATATTGAATGGATTGCATTGACTGTCCCTGTGGTAAGCAGTGGCACATTCCATTTCGCAAGTGTCTTGACTACGAAAGCATTCAAAAGGTCAATAACACAATGTTTAATCTTGAGAATACAGTGGCATGTCATACAAGGCAGAATTAGTCGTTATCCCTTCCGGATATCTACATCTTAGTATATAAATTGCATATTCACATGACACGATGATAGTCTTTGCGGCAATAAAGATCCGTCCACATTTAAGGTCAGCATGATCCGCGTGAAGTGTGCTGCAGGAATGGCGTAGCTCACGTCGGTCCATGGAAGTTGATACTGGGAGTTGATCTGATGGTGTTTTCGCATGTGATCGTTGAGTGGTTTAGCAGTTTGTCTATCGATTCGACGGTCGCCATGTATAAATGAAAGTCGCGATCGACACTGAGCGCAAGCCGCGCGCAACGAGTGCTGCAACAACAGTCGTCAAGTGTTGCAAGGTTGTCGCCTATAGAGTGCAGAGAGTGAAGTGAAATGTATGGTTCACCAGTGGTTGAAAATTCTACACGTACGGGCAAGATTTTGGAAGGGGTGACCAGGGGGTGGTGGGCTTTGCAATTTTCGTTTTTACGTAGGAGTTACCAAGGAAAAAGCCCTGCAATTTTCGTTCTTACGTGCTCTTGACTGATCTGAGCGAGAGAGACACGAAGATGATTAAGCTAAGGTGAAAACTCGCGAGTACGCTAGACGACAGTTTTGGTGACCAAGTTACTACCAGTACAGGAAATTTCAGTATGAACTGGTTAAATTCATTCGTGTCATTCTCACCGTTTAATTTAACACATTGAACAATTTGATAGCCCCGTCGTGCACAATGAAGAGAAACTAAGCACAAGTAAGTCTTATTATGGACCGTGTTGGCATCACTGAATTAACGGGGTTAGAAACGGCGTTGGCAGCTGTTTTGATTCTATATCGTAGCCGCCGTTACTGTCAAATTTCAGAGACTGTAATGCTCTTGACAAATATTACGGGAACCACCGGACTAGAATAGCAATACTGATGCCTCGCAATGTCATCCGCGTACAGACAAACGTAGATAAAATTTTCTAGGATCGCTTGACATAAATGCACTGCCTCCCTGTGGCCCATAAAGTCATTTTTCACAAAAACACGATGTATTGTCTTGTTCCATGCACTTGTTGCATGCTTTAACCCATGAATAGCCTATTTCAGATTGCATACGATCCTGGAGTATTGTCGATGCCTTGTCTGTCAGTGTAACGGGATCACATACCCTGGTAACAGGGGTATGTGTCACACCAGATGGGCATGGTGTGACCAAACACAAACAAGAATATCGATTTAAGGGCTACAATTGAGATATTGATATCGCGACTTACTGCTCGAAAATTCGGAATGTGGTGA